AGACGTCACCATAGGACATATGAAGATACACCACTTGGAGCCATATCATATCATCTGATCCTTCCTTCTTTACACGTACAATCAAATTCCCAGCCTGAGGGATCATTTGATTAGCAAGCCTGGATTGGAACATTGAGAAGTCTCCGTATCTATAGACTTGGAACTATGAACCCCGTCCAGCAAAGCGCGTCATCGCCTGGTGGAAAATCTCTCAATACCGCACATAATCCCACTCAACAACAGCAGAGTCAAATCACATCTCCAAGTTTCGAGTCAAATACAAGGCGCTCTGGTAGTCAATCAAGTGGTGTATCTGCGGCTGCTAGAAACAACCAAAGTCAACGAAAACAACATAGAAATTCCAAGAAACCTAGGCTCGCGGATGAGGATGCTATGGCGGAATCCGTAAGTCGTACATTTCTTCACGTTCTCATTATTTGCATTCCTGTTCCAGTGGTAGATTGCAAGCAATTGGCATAGTACAAAATATCAGCTCATTGCAGATGATTAGGATATTTCATTTTCATAAGCAGATTACAGACAATCAGTGGTGCTAATACTGCTAGGCGGCTATGAGAAATGCCAATAGTCGAAGAGGACAAACATCAATTACACATCTTATGAGTTTCGCTCTTCCACCTAGGCCACAGGATTATCGAAACACAATCGCAAGAGGAACAAGACGTGGAAATATATATGGAATTGGATCTGGTCATCATTCTAGTGATAAAGCTAGGTATATCCACGCCAATTACCGATTCATAGTCAGGCCAAATGGAGATTACAAGCAGCAAGCTCTGTTCGCAGACCAGCCTTTAGACTGGAATGATGTTCTTCAAATTCTCGCATCTGCCGAATCACAAGATACGTCATGTCCAATCTGTCTCTCGCATCCTGTAGCTCCTCGAATGGCAAAATGCGGACACATTTTTTGTCTACCATGTCTTATTCGCTACATGCACTCAACCGACGACACAAATCCTCTACCGGAGAAAAAGGCTCGATGGAAGGCATGTCCAATCTGTTGGGATACTATCTATAGCTCAGAAACGAGACCCGTCAGATGGTATATTGGACAAGAAGGGCCGGCCCCTCGTGAAGGAGAAGATGTGGTATTACGATTAGTTATGCGACAACCTGGAAGCACTTTGGCACTGCCAAGAGATGGTGCGGATGTACTCGACAAATCGGAAGATATTCCATGGTATTTCGCTGCCGAGGTTACGGATTATGCTCGAATCATGAAAGGAAGTGAGGAATATATGATAGAACAATTTGGATTGGAAATCGAGGCATTGAAACAACAAGAGAGTGAGGATGAATTGATGTTTGGAGAAGAGCCCGAGTGGACTCGGAAAGCGGTCAATTCTGTAAACGATGCGAAGGAGAAAGTAAAAGGTATTGGTGGACCGCCACCTCCACCAAGTCAGCCAACGGAGAAGAAGCCCAAAAGGCAACCCATACAGTTCAATCCTGTCGATGAAAATTCTCCAGAGATGTATTATGTCCAGCAAACCTCAACGCTATCTCCATCAGCTGTTCCTTTCCAATTGGATTCGACACTGACTCCACCACCACCTTCGTCCAATCCTGTTCCGATCTCAGATCCTTCACAATCCCATTCAGGGAGCATGCAACAAACCGACAGACAATTACGTCCAAAGAATGCCCAAACAAATGAGAGACATTCAGATGCCCCATATTTATTTTATCAAGCCCTTCTTCATTATTATCTCGCTCCCCTCGATATCAGAATTCTCAAATCAGCTTTTGGAAATTTTGCATCATTTCCTTCAACATTACTTCCCCGCGTCGAACGAGTATCCACTCACGTGATGGATGATGAATTGAGAAAAAGAACCAAATATTTAGCACATTTACCATTTGGCTGCGAAGTAGGATTTTTGGAATGCAATTGGACTGATGTTGTTCAACCGGAAATCTTGAATCAGTTCAAAGAGGATATTGAGCGACGAAGAAAACGTAATAGGGACAAGGAGGTTCGAGAGGAGAAAGATAGACAGCGTGCTGAAAAAGCAGAGGATAATGCACGTTGGGCCACGGCTAGACAGAAGCAACCCGAAATATCCCCGGCAAATTATTCCGACATCGATTACACCCAGCTCGCATCAGCATCTGTTGACCCGATCGATGCATCTCCTCCTTGGACTTCACGTCAAGGCTCTTCTTTCGGAGCGTTAGCTTCACCATCTACGAGCCCTCCTGCGCCAAGAACTGTTTGGGGAACGACACTGGTGACACCATCTTCGCCTGATCTTCATCCTCAGTACAATAGTAATGCGGACGATGGTTGGCTACCGGGTTGGGAACAAGAGCTTCAAGCAGAGAATGATGCATTGATTGCTCAAATTCAAGCGGCGTCCTTGAACGGAGAAAGTAGTTCAAGTGCTACACCTCCACCAGCACCTCAAGGGAAGAAGAAAAAGGGTAAGAAAATTACATTAATGAGTACAACAGCTAGAAGAGCTGCATGATTGTTCGCGAGGATTGGAAGTATGTATTTTTTTTCGAAGAATTTGGCGTTCATAGTGATATCACTACAGAGACACGATGCAATATATTCATTTTCAATGTTCAACAACATGCCGAATAATGCAGGGTTTCCCATAGTCTGGATTGTATTCTGACAATGAAAGTCATTTCCTTCCTGAATTCCAATCGCCCGGTATATGAAGACCATTCAAACATCGGAGATCTTCAAAGCAGTCAAGTCATTGCAACATTCAACCATCTGAATTATCCAAATGAATTCACTTAATACAGTGGATTATTTTCAAGGACCTTGCTTCAAAGCTCACATCTAGTCTGCTAATCTCAATTATTGGACACCCACACAACATGATGTTATGCAAGTCTGGTCTCATTCTTCATATTTCGCACGGACAAAAAGGGTTCTAGAAGTAAGTACAATTTCTATCAAGTGTTATGAGTGGCGTTTTGGAAGGTGTAACGGCTTCCTGGCTTGATGTCAAATGCCATGGTAACACAGTGATCTGCACTTCTTCCGGTATAAATCAACCATCACAAGTAACACCCTCATCTTTCATTCTTTTAGCTGCTTCCATCAACGAACCATACGAGCTGAATTTTTTTTGCTGGAATCTTTACTTCCAAGCTAAAGAGGGGCCAAGATATCCATCCCACTTAGATGTCTGTGTCGCTTAACAATCATCCCACGTCTTCACAACAACTCAACAACACGATATCTTCTGAATTTCTCATGTTCAATATTGACTTCGGCGGTTTTATATGACCGAGTGGTCTGCCATACATTACATATCAATTGATTCAACAATTCCTTATGTGATGCAATGCACGGCCCGTACCGCGATAGGAAAACTTCCTGTAGCTAAAGTCTCGGCGCAGATCATTGTATCAATCAACAAGTTGAATAGTCCTATCAACTATTTTTATCACCATCTACTATTATGTCAACAAAGATATACGATATGTTTGAGCAACATGGGAAAGCTCAATCCTCTTATCACTCATTGGAATTTTTATCATCCTACACCACTATCTATCTATCTATCTATCTTTACGAATTTTTCTCGCGTGCAACGTTACGACAGTATTCCTCGATTCTCAAGAATCTCTTCATATATACGGGACGTTCCGGATTGTTTCTATTTATATGTTTATTTGTATTTCTTCAATGCTTACGGAACGGGACCCTGGGGCTTGTAAATCCGAACGTTTCGCGGGACGTTTTACGATGTAACCTCAAAGTCGGTCGGTGTTGAAAGTCCGGTAAGATAAATTCGCTTAAGTCAGTCATCATCAGCCACGTTTACACCCCTCACATCTTCACATTATTACCATGCATTCATTGTTATCATTATTGTAGATAGGCTATGCTCTAGAACAACACAATCGGACACCCATCTTATTTTAGGATTTGCAGAACATTATTGAGTATGATTGAGATGCACTTACGTTTCATTTTCAGTTCCTAGTGTTATACATATGCAGGTCCATCAATATCATCCGAATAACCTATCGGATAGTGTTCGATGCCGAGATAATCGAATGTGGAAACACTTTTCCATGCTGTCAAATACCCTACTCAATACGAGATATATTGCTAGGGATCGATGAGACACAGCTATGCAAAACCGAGTCCATGGGCTGAAAATAATCTTCAGCATGGTATGTTGATTTGCAGAATTACTTTACTTGATTACCAGTGCGAACGAACCCCGCTGAATTGATTCGCTATTGTTTATCAAAACTCATGGATAATTGTAGATTGGAAACTTCCACGACGCATTCAGTATGCAAGCTGGAATTTGAGGTCAACATGTGTATGGCTTCGATCTAACATACCTACGTCATCCTGCTCTTTTCCCCTCTCAATTACACATGTTCAAATGTGAAAAAAAATAATATGATCATGTAATTGATTCTGTCAATGCTAGTGCAAGTCAACCACGATTTCGGAACCCGCCTCTTGACGCCCTCTGGTCTTGATATCATTGAGGAAATATTTTAATGATACGAGGCTCTCGTGCTTCACAGCGTGAGTTCCAATCGGCCCGTGCTTTCACCTGTCAGGCTATCGTATAGAGTGGGAAGACACGAACTGCATATTCATGCATCTTACTGTGTTGCGTGGAGGAGGCGTCAAGAATGTATGTAAATAACAAGGCTAGGACCTTGTATAATCATGTTATGTCGTATTACTCACAAATAGTGGGACGAAAATTCATTCTTGATTCAACGTTGCTTGACATTTTGGTTTGGTGGCGAAGGTGAGATGGGGTGAGATAGGATGTGAGAACTATATATATTAGTGTTGGCTCTATGCTTTGAGCTTTCGATTATCCTCATCATACAATTACACCTTATATCCAACTGCAGTTTTATTCGATAGCCACTACAACTACCACACAGAACAATTCGGACTCAAACTCAAACATCAACATCACTATCATCCAAACAACCAACCCAAACTACATCCTTGTCTAAACTCAATCAAAATGCTCTACACAGTTCGTCTCCATCCCTTTTCCCCCATTTCAATACATCCATACTAACAATCTTCAGACCATTCTCCCCCTCACTCTCCTCACCGCCGTCCTCGCTTCCCCGGTACCCGTTCCTGCTTCCACCTCCCCAGTCTCCACCTGCTCCACCCTCACCACCAAACTCGATTACTACCAAGGCTACCAATCCCCATCCCAATGCGGCATTAATGTTTTCTCAGGCAACATCACCGCTGGTGTTTGCGTCAATATCCTAACTCAAGGCATCATGCTTTTCCCGGCTGATACGGCTTGCACCTATAGTATCTGGAAAGGAGTCACCGATTGTAGTGGTGGTGTTACTCAGACTTTTGATTTGGGAGTCGCGCAGCAGGGTGTGCAGAGTGTGGGAACTTGTGTTGGAACAGGGGTTATGGATGGAGGGAGATTTTATCATGCTAGTGGATTTTTGAGTTGTGGATGCAACTAGGCACCTCTATCTGGATGAGTATAGGATTTGGAAGGCTGGGTCATAACGGTGGAAGACGACATGTGCTTTTATGAATCATGAACGAAGGACTGATTTCAAATGCATGAAATTATGGGAGTTGTTAATGTTGGTTATGGTTGATGGGCGGATTTTCGATATCTCCTTACGCTTACCTGGGATGGATTGATGGAGTTACAACTATAGACAAAAGTGAATGCTATGAATGGAACTTCTTTGCTTGCTTTCAGCATTCACAATTATTCCGTGGACCAAATTGCCGTTATCATTTATCTTTGTATGGAATCTTTTAGGATCAAATTAAGTTGAATTTGCACACCGTCGCGTATCTTTTTCTCGCGATTTTCATGAGTGCTCTAGAGTCTTCTACCTGTGGTGTTCTAATAAATAAAAAATCGTTTACAATTAGTTTGCCTCCACAGAAGTGGCCCCATGAGGACCAACGGAGCGTCATGGCGCCTGAAGTTAGGAATAGCTTGATTTACTCTATTCTCTATGGAAATACGACAGACTGAATAGTCATTCTTGTTCCTTTTGAATGTTCCAACTCGTGGATTTGTGTGAGATGATCTTATGTCAACGGCCGTGGTGAGTTCTAAGCACATATGACTCGCGAATGATACACATGTCTTGTGCGCTACTTCCATCTTCCTCTAGCAAAGAAATTAGAGGTATTTTCTATTTCATCCATTGGCGACGTGCATGTTTAGGGACTAAGAATCTAGCTCAAGGTCACGAGGGAATATAAATGATACTCCACAGTTCAACAACACATGTACCCCCACATCCCACTCTCCCACTCTCGTGTTCTCCCGTCAATGACTACCGCTCGCTCAATTTTTTGACAATACCTACAGTATCTAGAGATAACTAGCCGATCTAGCCAATCTCTACCAAGCTCGCGCGTAACCTTCCTCGATTGATTGACGGATAAACAAACATTTAGCTAATCGACGCATAATGATGCAAGCAACCAAGAATCTTCATAACTTACTATCGGAAAAAGGCGGGGTTGGAGATCTGGGGTCTTTAGATTCTCCCCCAGTCGGGAGTTCAGGATACCCCGCGGGGACGCTCCATATGTTAGCTTCGTATCTTTATCACCCCGAACTATTCCACATAATACATGGGGAATTACTCAATTTATATGATTTTCAATACTAATTGCCGACTACATTGCCTTTGTTTAACCGCTCGCTCATTGTCAAGTTTTCAACGCCGATGAGGTGGAGACGAGGATCGATTTATCGCGCGTCTTTTGAGTTCTACTTAATTGTTGGTACCACTACATAATTCGTCTCGAAAAGTCACGTATCGAGGGGCTTTTCACTTTTTGCCATTTCCCTTCTTCTCCAGGAAATTAAGACAGAGGGATAATAGAACCATGGATCAAAATAAACAAGGAGAGGGAGAGGTAACTCATCTCGAGGGTCCCCCAATTCAACAAGGGAATCATCAATTCGACACCCTTTCTCCGCAATCTTCATTACCAGCATGGAAGCCATCGCAGAGGAAACAGCCAGAGGGCGATACAGCTCTTGCTTTATTCCAAGATACGGAACAATTACATCAAGCGATTGATCCTGTCGAAGAGAGGAAATTGATTAAGAAAATCGATATGGTCATTTTACCTTGTTTAGCTGTCTGCTATATGTTTCTACTATGTATGTCAATACTTTCTTCCTCATACTTTGCTTTTCTTCTTTTTTTCCCCCAGCAATGACAAAATAATTGCTTACACGAATTAGATCGATAAAACTACTCTTTCGTATGCCGCCATCTTTGGTATAAAAGATGACCTTCATCTCGAAGGAACAAAATACTCCTGGCTTTCAAGTATCTTCTATTTTGGCTGGCTCGCCTGGGCCTTCCCCACCAATTATTTGATGCAGAAGTTTCCGGTCGCGAAATACCTCGCTTTCAATATCTTCATGTGGGGTGCTCTTCTTATGTGTCAGGGTAAGACTTCCTTTTCCTCTTACATTTGAGGCTGGAGCCCACTCCCTCGTGATTCATATCGCTGACCTTCAACAGCCGCCGCACGCAACTTCACCGAACTTGCCGTGCTCCGCGCCCTCTCCGGTGCCGCAGAAGGCTGTAGTGATTCCTCTTTCATGATCATTACATCCATGTGGTACACGCGACGCGAGCAACCGATCCGAATCGGCCTGTGGTATTCCGCCAACGGTGTGGGAATTGCACTCGGAGGGCTCATCGGCTACGGGATCGGAAATATCCGCGGGTCTTTAGCGTCGTGGAAATATGAATTTTTGATCGTCGGAGCTTGTTGTTGTATATGGGGAATTGTCTTGTGGTTCTTCCTACCTGACAGTCCTGTGACGGCAAGGGTGTTGAGTATTGATGAGAAGCGGATGGCGGTGGAGAGATTGAGGGAAAATCAAACGGGAGTGGAAAATAAAACCTTCAAATGGAAACAGGTAAAAGAATGGGCGGGAGATTACAAAACTTATTTGTTCTTCTTGATTGGACTTGTGGCGAATATTCCGAATGGAGGAATTAGCAATTTTGGTACCTTGATCATCAAAGGGTTTGGATATTCAACTTGTAAGTTTCCCCTTCTTCTTTGTTGTTCGTTTTCCTTGCGATTGTTGTCAAAAAATCATAAATGAATACATGAATCACAACTAACAAAGAAAAGTGATAACAACCATCATGCAAATCCCCTACGGTGTTCTCATTGCCCTCAGCATCCTCCTCTGCGTCTTCCTCAACGATCGCTTACCTCCCAATAACCGCTGTATCATGATCCTCATCTTTCTCCTCCCCAACATCACTGGCGCATTCGGACTTCAATTTCTGCCTCAGACTCACCAGGTTCCTCGTCTCATAATGTATTACCTAACCGGGCCCTACAATGCCTCTTTCGTATTGTTACTCTCAGTACTGTCGGCCAATACCGCGGGCCACACAAAGAAGATCCTCACGAACGCGACACTTTTTGTAGGTCTTTGCGTGGGGAATATTTCCGGTCCGTTCTTTTATAAGAGTTCTCAGGCTCCGAAATATCAATTGGGAATATGGAGTATGATTGTGGCGCATTTAGCGGAAGCCGTGTTGATTATAATTTTGAGATTTTTGTTGAAGAGGGAAAACGAGAAGAGGGATTTGCAGCAGGGAATTGATGTGGCGAGTGGGGTGAGAGAGGGGCAGGGAGATGAATTTGCGGATGAGGATGAGGAGGAAAGGAGAAGGAGGGATTTGGATGATACTGCTTTTGCAGACTTGACAGATAGGGAGAATGAGAATTTTAGGTATATCTTTTAATGGATAGATGTTGATGCGGTGGATTTGAGGAAGGGTAAAGGGGACTGGTGTCAGGTTCCAGCATATCCATGGATTGGATAAATATGCACACATGAGCATCAAGATATTATAGAAATGGTAAATTTACAACATCTAGAATAAGATATCATAGATCAATAAATCAATTCTCATATTCTTGAAATTCCAGACTAGATATTTTGAAATGATCATTCTGTATTGTCTTAAGCCCGCTCTACAACTTTGGCATGAGCTTGTAACGCGGAAGAAACAATATATCATCTTTAAATTTGAAATCAAAAAGAAATCTAACGGCGCACAAACATGAAGTGTGAGATTGAACTACAATACACATAAGCACCCGACAATAAAATTCCAAAAACAAAGAACATAACTTATCCATAACTCCAACATCCCTCATCCGCCTCCCCGCCTCCCCGCCTCCCCTCCTTCCTCCCCCCTGAATGCCCAAATATCAACCCCTCATAAAATCCAAAACGACTTTCAAAGACCACCGGTAACTTGTAAGTCCCCCCTCTTTCTCCTTCTCAGACCATCCCTCCACCCAAAGGTTAAAAAAAGAAAGGTTTCTCAATATCCCGTCATGCAGTTGATAGAAAGCCAGGTGTTCGCCTGGAGTCTTGTTGCACGTCTCACCTTCAGGTATTCCGATGATATTGAATTAATGTTTGCTTAGAACGATGCTTCCTGGATACACTTTCGCAGAACCTTCTTCTGAGGTGAATGGATGTACAGGCAATCCCTTCCAGAAGATTCGAGGAGGTCGTTCGTTGCACATCTTACCTCCTCTAGATTCCTAGTCGTTTGAGTTATTTCGTAAATCTGACTTGCGAGTCCCTCATTGATGGGAGCAGGTAGATATATACATATTCACACAGGGCATCACGTTACCACCACGAAGAGATTTTTGTTGCATGTCTTACCTCCGAAATTTCCGGAAAAGTGCCAGAATCGAACTGAAAAGGGGTATGTGTTTCTTGTGTTTGTCTTACCCGAGTAATCGTTCCAAGGAGTTCAAAGATGTGCATACCCAATCGTATCCAGCGCTTCTTATCACCACATCCAGAGGAATATTTGTTGCACATCTCATCCGAAGAATCCGGTTTATGGATGAAAGTCAATAGCAGAATGATGCTGTTTCTTGTCACAACTGCTTCTCTTTTACACCTTATTTCCGAACTTGCCGAATAGAATCTTAGTATATGGGAAGGGTAAACACCGGACAGCAACTAGAAGACTTGATAGATATTTTGTTGCATGTCGCATCCCCGAGCCTTCCGGTGGCAGTCACTCTGAAGACTGTTCAATCCTTCAAAATCATTTGTTGCATATCGCATTCCGGATTTCCCGGGCATAATAGAACAAATTATATGATATGGTGAAGATTTGTTGTCCATCCCATCTTCCGAGAGTTCCGGCAGTTTGAGGATGTTACCGCTAGGTCGACAATGCGATAAATGTATATATATAGCAAGACGAAAGAGGTTATGCTGGACATAACAAGAGTCATAGTCCATTTCAAGAGAGATGACACGATCATCTGCGGATGGAAGTTTCCTTCAAAGAAGGTTCTCATGGATCGATCAACCACTTTCGTGAACATATATCACGTCAAAATGTGCTATTCACATCATACGGCTAGGGATTTTGAGTACTACTCATTGTCTATTCACATCCGAACTGAAGCCACCAAAACGCACGCTTTTATAAGACGATGTTTCGAAGATAAGATGACTCGACATCTTGAGGTTTTGCAACATTGATTGAAAGCTTGAATAGCTTCATCCAAAATAAGCCGAAATACTTGTCTGGACTTTGCGTTTTGTCTTGGTTCTCGATTCTGTAACCATCAAAGCAGCACCCCTCGAGCAAAAAAGAAAAGAGATCAGCCAAGAACGCGGGGCATTGACATTATAGATTGACAATGGGGTACCGGTCTCGAGCCGGGACATGTCGTTCGTGATACCGAATTACGAAATTAGCCAATTGATCGACACATAGCGTTGCGACGATTCTTCCACAGATGGCTTGGATAAATGGATTCAAGGCAAAATCTAATCGTGGTTCGCGACTTACAACCTGGATTTGAGTACTAATGTATGAGATGAAAACTCTTCATTATCCGCATATTGCAGTGGCAATAAAGCACAGCGCTAAGAAGGTATTCAGATGTGCTTTGGGCCTTCGATAACTTAAATATCTTGGGCCACGGAAGAAGAAAGGGAGGATTTGAGGTCGAAAAGTCTGATGTTTGGGTTGCCAAGGGTTGTTCGGCGTAAGACCATCTTTGCGGGAAAAGGTGTAGAAGTTAAAGTTATTAGTCAGGTCAACTGTAGGGCCACTGGTGGGTGCACTGGTGAGCGTAGAAAGTTATTCATGGGTTGGAGAATTCCATCCATACTTACCGTGCTCGAGTCAAATTTTCCATTGAAAACACGAGAAATCATTCTGTAGAATGGTAGCCAATCACATTCTGCTTTAGAGGTTTGTTGATTGTTTGATCGTAAACAAACAATCCAAAAATAAATCAACTCATCTCACTGTACAGAGTACCCGGGAGAGCCAACCTTGGAATTTTGCACGTTTTATGCTATGCGTTCATTTCATATTCATATGTATAGATTATCTCATCAAACTACGAGTATTGATGTCGTCGTAATCAAATTCAATCACATCCATGTATGGCAGTAGATCATCAATCTCTATGGAGTAGTTTTCTGCGTGTTCAACTTTTCACTTGACATAGCCTCCAGGGGGAGTTCCATGTCGTTCCCTCGGTAAGCTTCCCTTGGGAAATTCCTGGCCAGAACCAGGTCAGAACTGTGGAATCACGGGTAAACTAATAAATACATGTATCCATACTGGTAGTACCGAGTAAACAATGGTTCATTCATCAATCCATGATGAAGGGGATCTAGAAGAAGTGGGCGGTAAAGGAGGTCTCGGGAGGTCTGGACTATTTTAGAAATTCTCGATTGCCTTCTTCTGAGTCCTGACTCCGAGTCTGGAGATTTTCCAATGCAAACAAATCAATACCATACAATACAATGGAAATTGTCAGGATGATTACCCAGGTAATATGATAGGAATAGAAAAGATGAAATGAAGGGGTTTCACAGCTTTATATATATCGTTGTATTTTTGACATCTAGAATCCTGTCTGTGATTTATCCAAATGAACGTGATTTGGAAGTGCCCCAGAAAAAGATTTGACACACAAGACATTTCAAGGTTCGAGAACAATTGGATCTTTTCGTGATTCCCGGTCCGAGATGAAGATGTTCGAACTCCAAACGGAAGGCAAATCAGGAAAGGAAAGGAAGCAAAGTAAAAATAGAAAATATATCACGACGCAAGCTAGCTAGCTATTATTTATTTATTGAGTTGTTAATGGAAAGCAAAAGGAGTGTAATGAATTAAATGCAATCAATCAACATGTTTGTTTTACCTATACTTTGAAAACAAGATGTGAGCCTGTGTATCCAAGGAATACCAAGAAAGCTTGAGGGATGATTTGGTTACCTAGTATCGATAAGATACGTTTGAAAGTCTACGTAGTAATGACCACCTACGGGTATCTGTGTGTATGATTTGCTGCTTATGGATACGAAGCAATCGATCAAATATTGATGAGCAGGCTGTTTTTGCTCTCTTTGGCTATACTTGGATGTCATGCTTCTATTTTAAGGTTTTCTATACAAAAAGATGGGCATGTAGGTAGGAAGTCAATCTTCTCGATGTTGGAGTAGACGATAAACATAAACCATTACAATTGGATGAATCATGAAGCAATGAGGATTGTACGAGGGTGGCGATGTAGGCCAAGAATACTTGCTCTGTATCTGTAGGCCTTTGTCGGCCTTGGACGGTAATCATCTTGGTCTTTCTTCCTTTCCCCTGATGTTAACATGTACTTACACACCAACATGATTATCAGAGCCACCATCACATGTGGCCCAAGGGCACCCATTGCCTGAGTATTATGCAGCGATGAAGCAGTCAACGCAAAACCAATGCAGGTCCCAAAGCATGTAAAATACCTACATACTAGGTAGGTAGTACATGATGGAATTTTATTGGCCAGAGTATCGGCACGGATGTGAGTACGGATATGTTCCTCCCTTTGGAGCCATTTGGAACTTGGCACGATTCGTTACTTTTTTGCCCCAGATGTCCAAGAAACCGGCAGGAGAATTTCCCACTTGGCATCGATCGTGTTTACTAACTTTACTGTACGAGGTCTTGATTGCAGACATTGGATTTAATCCAGAAAAGAAAATACACAGATAGAAATCCCCTGAGGAAGCACGTTTGATTGGAGGATGGGAAATAAATAATGGACCCAAATCGAAAGAAGTGGCTCTTGCTTATCCTGGCAGCCACCTTTTACTAGGTTACCCGTGGACCTGTCAGGTACGATGCAATTTTCGATGGTTCGTCCAACCACGCAACGAGGAACGAAGCAATGAAGCGACGAAGCAACGAAGCATCCAGCCAACCAGCCAACCAACCAACCTTGGTAATAAAGACCTCTTCGAGACCTCCACCATCCATCCTCCACTCACCCACGTCCCCTGCTTTTTCTCCTTACTGCACGTTCAATCCTCCATCCCCTCCCTCCCCTCCCTCCTTCTCTTCCCCCCCCCAGTTTTTCCTTACAAGGTTGATTCCCCAATAAATAATAATATGTAATTGAAGCTTTTTCTCTCTTCCTTCTACTCCATTCCAGATCTCTCTCGTTCCTCCTTCTTTAAGATCCATAAACACTCGTTAGACTCGAGATCTTTCCTCAATTATTCCAAGTCTCTCTCTTTAAGGTTGATAGTTGCTAGGTATTCCTTCTTAATTCACCACCACCTCCAAACTCAATTCCACACCACTCGTTATCCTCCATCGACTTTTACTTCTTCTACACTCACTCACTCACTCACTCACTCATCATAATCAAATCACTTTTTCGACTTATACTCTCTTAATTGTGGAATTCATCATTCAGTTTATAACAACATCATACGTCTTGCTCGAATAACATATCAAAATCAAACAATCAAACAATACCATAGTAATTCATCATGCTCTCCAAGACTCTTTTCGCCGTTGCGGCTTCGCTCTCCACTGCAAGTGCTGTTAACCAAGGTTTCAACTATGGTGCAACAAACGCAGATGGCTCTTACAGAGTTCAATCTGATTTCCAAGATGCTTTCGAGACTGCCAACTCTCTCGTTGGTACCTCTGGTTTCACCTCTGCTAGGTTATATACTATGCTCGTAAGTTGATGGAAATGCTCCTCACATTCTCCTCCATGCTAACAGTCTCTAAAGCAAGGTGATACTACCGAGCCAACTTCAGCCATTCCTGCTGCTATTGCCTCAGACACAACTCTTCTCCTTGGTTTATGGGCTTCCGGTGGAGCTGCCGGCGTCACTGCTGAGATCAACGCTCTCAAGGCAGCCATCACAAAATATGGTACCGCTTTCACTAGCCGAGTCGTTGGTATCTCTGTAGGGTCCGAAGATTTGTACAGAAACTCCCCAACTGGTATTGCTGCCAAATCTGGTTATGGTGCCAACCCAGCCGACCTTGTCGACTATATCAAACAAGTTAGAGAAGCAATTGCCGGTACTGGTTTGAGTGGAGCTTCCATTGGACATGTTGACACCTGGACCGCTTGGGTCAACGGATCAAACAGTGCTGTCGCAGAGGCCCTTGACTGGGTTGGAATGGATGCGTAAGTTTAGCAGTCTGTCAATACCCTATTTCATAACTAACATATTATTTAGCTACCCATACTTCCAAGATACTGAGGCAAATGGAGTCAGTGAAGGAAAGTCTCTCTTCAACTCTGCTTTGGCCGCTACACAATCTGCTACTGGAAAGACCGTTTGGGTCACTGAGACCGGATGGCCTGTTACTGGTGCTACTGCCGGTGATGGAGTTCCAAGCGCTGATAACGCCAAGACATACTGGGATGATGTTGGATGCCCTAACTTCGGAAAGATCAACATGTACTGGTACACTCTTCAAGATCAAAACGCTGCCTCATCCGTTACTCCATCCTTCGGTATCGTTGGTAGCACTTTGAGCACCACCCCATTGTTCGATCTCAGCTGTTCCAACACTACATCAAGCTCCTCATCAACTGCTTCTTCCAAGGCTACTAGTGGTATTGCAGCTATTGCTACTGGAGGATCTGTTGCCTCTTCTGGCTCTGGCCTTTCTCCTACCGGCATGGGTGCTGGCATCTCTGCTGTTTCAGGTGCCGCTTCCCCAAGTGGTACAGGTTCAGCCGGTGGTTCCCCAGCTGGCGGATCAACTAACGGTACCTACACTGCCTCTACCCTCAAGTCCTCAGCTGGATCAAGTGCTACTGGAACATCCACCTCAGGATCCGGTTCATCTGGTTCATCTTCAGGATCTGCCTCTGGATCATCATCCTCTTCCCCATCCTCTTCCACCGGTGGTGCAGCATCCCTTACCGGATCTGTTGCACTTGCCCTTGGAGCCGTCTTTGCCGTTGCAGCTGCTTTGTAAATGAATTGAGTTGTGTTTATGGGAAGAAGGAGTGGTTTGCATTACATGGGTAGCACTAAAATGGGAGAATTATGGTATTGAGCTTTTGCCTTTTCTTTTGCGGCATTTTTTGGTGGTGAATCAATACCACGATGACCGGTCTTCATAGATGGAGTTTTTAAATTAAAAAAGCATGAATTACAGTGGATGGATTCATTGTCACATCAGACAACGGGACATTCCTTCTTTTACAAACAATGAAAAAGTATTGAACTTAAATTTTCTTGGCAGTTGATGTGACTTGAGAAATGATTCGAGAAGTGATTTTTCATGTTGTGATGACAACACTATCTATCTGTTCAATTTTGAGAAACATTCTTGACGCCGAGAGGTTGAACAACATATTCTACATTCTGTATCACCCTTTACCCCTTTGGTCAAAAAGCGCTTGAAAACTCGACCCTTTCATTGATGATGGAGGCCACGGTATCTAATCCCTTTTAAAGATGTAGATGGAGTGTCGTCATAATCTACATGTCCACATTCCTTGCACTCACGATGGTGAAACGTGGAAGAGGTAGAATGGGATGGGAAGTGGAATGCGGGAATGGGAATGCGGGTAGTTACTTGCATTGATTGATAAATGAATAGATAGGCGGGCTTGGCGTCGAGGGGGAGAGGGCAAGAAGATTGTGATGGGGGTTTGGGGGATAGGATATGGGGATTAATTTAGGGCTGGACCCTGAAGGGATGAAGGGAAGGAGAATTTTTAGGGGTATTAGGCGCCTACTACCTACCTACTAGGTTCCTAGCTATGTAGGTATGTGATATGAGTGAATTTGACCAGGGGAAGTGTAAGATTATTTTGAAGTTTCCAAGTATGTATGATATGATGCCTAGGTATCTCCGAAGACGTTTCTGTGGACGCTTCTGATTGTATATAACCTACTCGAGTGATCATAAATAATTTCACGATGTATTCTTACTGGGTATTCTAAGGAAACGATAGACACTGCACTCGCTGAACGCATGAGCGGGCAAGACGGGCGCCAAGGGGATGGTCTCGGGGGTTTAGTTGTTAGTCTGACGGATCGCCATTTAAGAATATTTGGGTTTGGCGACGAGAATAGCTAGTAGATAGGGTGATACACATACATCTCTAGTACTTACATGTATGCATATCTGGGGAGATCTTCTCCATTGAATTAAATATATCCATTCGTCAGTTAAAAAATGTAAACGTGAACTCATTGAATAATGAAATGATGAATCAGTTATTGATGCAATGAACCCCGCTGTGTACGTAGTAGGTAGGCATCCAAGATCCACCACAGCTTTATCAGGGCCACTCTTTATCTTGTTTTCATCACCCCATACGATAGTTTCATCATGAATGATACGATTCGACACAATACGATGTGATGGGGATTTGGGGGATCCATGCTGAGTGTTCAATGTCCCGCCTAAAACTTTGAAGGTGTGTTATCACCCGGAAAATAATGGAGTGCGAAGGATAAGCTTAACCAAAGCGCAATTAGGTGGACTCTGTAGCTATAGGCTGGACTCTACTGGTACGGTACAAAGAAAAATCATATAGAATACCTAGGTAGTATCTAAAGGAAGAGATTTCAGGGATTTCAGGGACAGACGGACGAACGGACGGATGAGAAAAAGAAGATTTTTTTTTTGATCTCTTGGCTTTGTAACAATATAAGGCTTGATGGTTTTGAGGGTTGACTAGAAAAGCTTGGAGAGGACAGAAAGGGCTTGGAAAAGCTTTTGTTGATGTTTGATGGACATCCTCGTGATTTTGTCGCCAGTAATTGAATGACTGACTGTTGCTCTGTTGGAGGTTGTCATATATATCTTATTGTTAACGTGGAATATGAATCCTTTCTTTCCATCTGCTTTGTATTTAATGTTCCGCTAGCCCTCTAGGGAATATCACCGTGAAGGTAGATTAGATTGAAAGTAGAACCCTTCGAGCGCAGCGAGCCCTGGGGGTCTGGGGGCTTGCCCCCATGAAGAAAAGAATATAGTTTTTGAGAGAATTGATATGGATGATTTCTCTGATTGTATCATCTACCCACCTACCTACCAGGTATGTACGATTATATTGAATTCTCGTGATATAAGATTGAACGAGAGGCTGTGCCCATAAGCCATAACATAAGGAAGCGAAGAAGAGAAGAAGGGAAGGGAAGGATCCTATAAAAAAACGTTCAGCTGCGAATCAAAAGAGAAAGCGCTACATGAACCTTGCTCTGCTTTGGGATTATCCTCCAATGAATCCATCTGAGATTATCTCACTACTAACTTCTCACTCATTACAACCAATCTTCTTCCTCCATCTTCCCTCTTCCTTCTTCCCTCTTCCCTCTCCTCTTTTCCCTCTCTCTTTCTTGTCTCCACACCTTTTCATCTCATCGTCTCAATGTCACTTACTTCTACAAGTCTTTCAATGACTCTCTTTTCAAATTGATGGATTATCACCACACGGGAAATTTGTAACATAAAAAGAAGCATTTGACGTCCATTCGTTTCTTAAATTGATTTGAACCTTTTTGGAAGGATACTTCTAAGATTGAGTGAATCCTACAAACCTCTGAAGGATTCCCAACTTCAGCATCGACTCTTCCACATCTACAAACACACACGACGCACTACCTTCTACATTCTGCATACTGCACACTGCACACTATCGAAAAACTTTGGACAAAATGCTTCCTACTTTCGCTTTATCGGCTGCGACGGCAGCCCTACTCAGTTCCTCAATGGTTAATGCTGAGATAGAATTAAATCTGGATGACAATAGTATGTTTGTTATGATTTCCATTTGGGCATTCAAAAACGGTCTTTCACCTTCCAGACTCAGACTTGCTAACTGGATTTTTTGCCTTTCAATATAGCTTCGATAAAGAATGCGGCTGCGACAATCGCATACGATATGATGACATACTATAAGGGAAATCAATCGGGAGGAATACCTGGAGTGTTACCTGGACCTCCACCAAATCCCTCTTGGGGTTGTGAGTTTAGAATTCTTTTCTCTTCTTGTCTCTCGATTCTCGACTTTGCGCAAATGTAAATGCGACATTAAAAATAGGAATGTGGAACTGATTTTCATATCCACTGTCTAGATTATTGGTGGGAATCCGGTGCGATGTGGGGGTCTCTTATCGATTATTGGTATTATACTGGCGATTCCTCATACAACGATGATGCGATGGCGGGTATTCAATGGCAAACTGGGGCAAATAACGATATGATGCCTGCGAATTGGTCACAATCTATGGGAAATGATGATCAGGGATTTTGGGGAATGACAGCTATGACTGCAGCGGAAACGAAATTTCCGGATCCTCCTTCGGACAGACCAGGTTGGTTGGCTTTAGCTCAAGCAGTTTTCAACACTCAAGCAGTGAGAATTGATAATGCTACTTGTGGCGGAGGGTAAGCTTTTATGATTTTGAGATTGGGAGAGGGAATTGGACTAATGATTGATAGTTTACGTTGGCAAGTTTATCCATATCTTACGGGTTACAATTACAAGAACTCTATCGCAAATGGATGTTTCTTCAATATTGGGGCGCGACTCGCAAGATACACCAATAACGAAACATACGCCCAATATGCTGAGGAAACATGGAATTGGGTCAAAAGTGTTGGATACATGGACAAAGATTATAATATTTATGATGGTGCTCACATTGAAGAGAATTGTACGGATATTAACAAGGTTCAATTCTCTTACAACTCGGGGGTTTATCTACTCGGTGCAGCTACCATGTATAATCATGTACGGTTCTTTTCTGTGTTTTTTTTTTCTTCCGATCTTTTGATACCCTTAAATATCTATACTGACATGAGTAGACAAATGGCTCCGAAATTTGGAAAGAACGTGTTGACGGACTTCTCAATGCTACATTAAAAAACTTCTTCCCTACCGGTGATATCGCCTATGAAATTGCTTGCGAAGCAAAACTTTCATGTACAACTGATATGTTTTCCTTCAAGGCATTCCTCACTCGTTGGTTGGCCGGAACCACAAAAATGGCCCCTTACACTTATGATCTAATCATGCCATATTTGAAAGCATCCGCAGTCGCAGCAGCAAAGCAATGTTCAGGCTCGAGCCCATTTGCTGGTAGAACATGTGGATTAAGTTGGAGCAAAGGAACAGATTGGGATGGAACCTCTGGTGTAGGGCAACAAATGGCAGCCATGAGTGCTATTTTTGTAAATCTCGTTCAACAAACAAAAGCCCCGGTTACGAACAGTACAGGTGGAACCAGTGTGGGGAACAGTGCGGCGGGTAGTGGGAGCACGACTAGTTTGGATGCTGTCAAACCGCCGTCTACAGGGGATAGAGTAGGAGCTGGAATGGTTACGACTGTGGTTTTGGTGGGAATGACAGGAATGTTTGGGTGGATGAGTTTGTGAATCGGAAGAGGAACGAATGGGAAGGAAGGGGGCAGTTGAGAGATGGTTTTGAGAGAGGAGGGAGGGCAACGGAATCAGAATGGGGAGGCAAAAATTATGAAATGGAGTTGGGAAATTAATGTTTATTTTCTTTCTTTACGTGGATATGGAAGGATATGGGATAAGGTGTTTGAGCGTACAACTTCTGCTGGGTTGGTGTGATTGATGGGAAAGAATGGATATGACATGAGATGTTGAGTTGGTGGTTACAGTACTGGCTATGAATTCTTGTATTGCATTGTTTTTGCGTGCATATACCCCATACATTGCTTTACTAAGAGATATACACAGAGAGGATGAATTCGGCGATGAAGGATCGGTGATGAGAATGAAAGAATTGGATGGGATGGGATGAACAAATGAGATTTTTAAAAATATATCATTTTGATTAATTGATGTGCACAATGTTGTGAGTATGATGCATGGGAAAAGGTATTTTCATCAAAGTGTAAGCGTTCATTAGACATACTGATTAGCGAGTGAGTGAAACCGCAGAGGGTACTGCGGGAAAACAGGGTGGATAATTATTGATCTGTTCGTTCGGAAGCTTTGAGGGCAAGGTGGTGGGGGAGGATAGGAGAATTTTGGAGAAATGTGAATTCTGGAGAATTCATCTGGTGGAGTGGAGCTTTTCGGAGAGGAGATGGGGGAGTGGGACATGCGGAAGATTGAGGGGGATCGGATCGCGAGATGGGATAAGGTAGGGATGAATGGGGTGCGGTATGTTTCGGAAAGAGAAAGGAGGGAGGGGTAAGAGCGGAGCAGGATGGAATGGAATGGGGATGGGGATAGGAACTAAAAGGTGGCATGTATAACTCTGGGAGTAGCGAAAGAAAATGGGGTTGCCCAAGTAAAGTAAAGATTAATAATATCAACTCTGAGAATCGTGAAGGGGGACCAATCCGGCTGGAGTTAATTCATGCACATGCACATATCTTGCGCTCATGTTTTGGCGAACGAGTCCGGTCAATTTTAGGGGAGAGAGGGGAAGGAAGCGAGGCAGGGTGGGACGGGTGATTAGAGTACGCTTGTTAATCTGTCATGATTCGGGAGGTTTAAATTCCATGATTGCAGGGTGAAGTAAAGCATGCAAGAACCGACTGGTATATTCAAAATGTCTGGTAAATCAATCAATCATAAGATGGTATTCGTCTTTCATTAATAATAATACATATAACTATTGATACATGGATGAATTCGTAACTCCTGTGATGGGAAATAACCCCAAATAAGAAGGAATATCTCTTGACCCAAAACGCTGTCTGTAACGTATGGATTGTAAGTCCCCTAGCCTGCGCTATCCCGATTATAATCGAGGGTATTTTGATCCTGCCGTGCCCAAATTTTCCATTCATTGACTCCCATACCCAGAAAGCTGGATACCTAGGACTAGATCCTCTCGGATATCCTGAACGCCCGCTAATTTCAGATTGAAGAAGAAAAAACCCTCCCCCAAGCCCAAATTCACCCTGTACTTCCCAAGCCAATCATTCACTGCTGTTCTTTCTCCCTCTCGTTTCCCTATGCTCTACCATGGGCAATTCTGTGCTACACTTTCTCCCGGTAAGACTCATCTTCTGCACTAAAACAGATACTCTACGACTTAACCTCCGAAGAGGCGTATCCGGTCTATCATCTTCATTGCCTCTTGACTCCTGTCCAGCTTCTCTACTTTCTTCACCGCTCGACCAAACTCCACCCATAACCACAGGTTTCGAGTCAACTTGATGCCTCACACCTTCACCACCAAAATTCAAATACACCGGATATAAAAGTGCCAATAAAAATAATACAAAAGGAATTACAAAAGAATATTGTATAGTATGGATTGTCCGCACACCAAAAAGAACAAAAACAAAGACACTTCCTCCAGTTGCTGATGCTACTACACACGCTGATGCCCACTTTGTATGTTTCCCCATACCGCGAATGGTCAAAGAAAACACCAGTGGGAAAATCGGACCTTCAAAGAAAAAAACTAAAAGAGAGGATGCAGCAAGAAAAGATTGTGATATATTGTTGATGGCGAAGATAAAAGCTGAAAATATGGTAAGGCAAACTAAAGCAATAAGCAATAGAATTCGTGGTGGGACCACTAAACAGAGAGGTGCAAAAACGAATCGACCGATGGCAAAGAGTCCATGACCTAAAAGTAGGTAATCTTCTTCGTTATTTAGTGTGAAGAACGATTTGAAACTACCCGTTCTAGGAACAAATGAAATTAATAATGGTTTGAAGAATTCTGAAATACACTCCTGTGCTGCAACGTAACAGAGTTGAGCAATAACACCGATGACGAGAGTCGTATAAATAATTGATGTGCCTGTCCAAGGTAACTTTCTTGATGGATATATTTCGAAAAGTTCCGCTTGTGCTTGAAGGTCGGCATCACTAGCTTCGGGTAGAGGCATATAATAGAAGAACAGAGCGAGGATGACGGTAAAGAGAGCAATCGCGAGGTAGGCCCATTGAACATCGATTAAAGTCAAGTGTTTTGTACCCTCAATTTGTACTCCGTTGAAAAAAACTTTCTCGGCCAAAGTTTGACTCACAAGTGATGCGACGGCTTGTATACTTTGCGCAAGCATCAATCTAAATTCAGCATATTGCATTGGTCCACATAGAGCCAGGAATGGATTTGCAGCGGTCTCTAGAATCGATAAACCAAATCCAACAACAATACTGGACAGTATGAATCCCGTGTATGACGTTAAAACTGCGGAGGGCCAAAACATTAATGTACCAGTCCCGTAGATACAAAGTCCCGCAATGAATGTGGCTTTGAAACCACTATGTCTCAAGACCCATTGTCCTATTGATAGGGCTCCAATGACATAACCTCCAAAATAAGCGGCAGATAGTCCTATGGTTTGGCCATCGGAGTAGTTGGCTAGTGTTGCTATTTCGCGATTTAATCTATTGAGTAATCCGTACGAGAAACCCCAAAGGAAAAATAGAATGGTGACCATGATGCAATATTTAAAAGCTTCTCTTCCACGAGTCTTCATCATTGATTTTGGTACCCTCATATTGACAAATCCAAAGTAAGTGGTATTGGCTGTACGCGCTGTAGAATTTCGTCGTAAGGTTTCCAAGGCAATAGCTGAAGGAGCCGTTAAGAATTCTGCCATATTAAGTTCTTGCTGCTCCATGTCTTCTCGATAACCTCCAGGGTGGATATCTGACAATGGTGATAGAGGACTGTCTGTCAATGCGGTGTTTCTCGGTGGTAAATGATTATCGACCGTGGCTAATTGGCCTTGGCTACCAATCGGTGGACTCGCAGACTCAAGGTTATCTGCTGTGCGGGTGTGCGATCCTGTTCTTCCAGATACTCGGTCCGCAAGCATCGCCGGTAGTATTACTTTCATAAGTGGCTTCAAGGTAGGAATGCAAGCACATACGATCCCGACATTGACCTCAACAGCCGACCACATAAATGCAAGCGAGGCATTGTAGGCAAAATCGTCTCCTTCGCCGAGCTGCGAGTGAGCCAAAACGGATGTTTGAAAGTCATTCGAGGCTTGTTGTAGATAATAGATTCTGACAACGTCGACAATTGTGACAAAAATTCCCAAGGAGAAAGTGAAAACCAAGATCGCCTTTTGCCTTTGGGGAAGGTTCATTCCGGTGAGAACAGGAATCGGCAGAACCAATATGGCTAAATCCGTAATGATATTCACAGGAGCTGATGCGAGATAGATGGTGATAATCGATAGACATTTCGCATCCGTATCTGTCCTCCACGCACCAGAAACAGGGCTACACTGAAATGCGTTGACAAAAGTAAGGACGATACCGTCTAAAACGGTAACGAGTAGGGTGATATATGAAGCCCACCTCAGGAGCTTTTGAGTATTTCGGCTTAAACGTAAGTAGAAAATGAGAATTGAGGTCTTTGTCGCCATCAAACATGGATTCTGTAATACAAGTCAGGAATTGCGCACTCAGTCCATGATCCAACGACCATGACTCACATAAAGTACTGTAAATGCATATTCGGCCTTTTTTAGGTGAGGGCGCCATTCTTCCTTAATATCAGGATCGGGCTTTCCCAAGCCTTTATTTGTTGCATAATCAATTGAAAAAGTTAGGCCAAATGCAAAGATCTGTCATAGGGAACCATGAGTGTTAGTGAATCCGTTCATTCAACATATTATCCCCTCAGAAGAAATCTTATCTTACCCAAGAGAGTATGATAAACCAGTCATCCGCAGTTCTCTTTCTCAAAATTCCGAATCTAGAAACCAGTCTCGCTACAACAAATATGCTCGTAATAATAAAGGTAATGGTAGTGACCCAAAAAACCAGCTCACTGCGCGATTGTAAAGGCTTTATTGATGTTGACATTGTATGTTTATATATTTCGTCTCAAATTTGTTCGTCTCGAGTTCGATTCCTAAGTCATTTTCCACTCTTAAGTCGAATGTAACAATTTCCGTATTTCCATCCTCTGATGTACCAAAATAATATTGAAGTACAACTATTCCGATCGGTGAGAGTTGCGCGCAATTGTATTCCCAATGAGGCGAGCAAACACGATTTGTGATGTATCCCCCCCTCCTGCGATCCAATCTCTGCCTTCAATTCAAGTCGCTGATTCGTATTCGTCAATGTCGAATTTTCGTTTTTCGATGGGATTACTTTTCGTGCGTGCCAACCAGCTTTCGAGATCGTATATGGCGCAAATGGTCCTACGTTATAATCGCTGTGAGTGTGTCGGAGGACAAGTAGTGATGATTTGTTCTATTGTTGAATTATTTTCGGTGTAGATGGATATCGAAATTGATTCGACATGTGGATTGAGCTGCGCAAAGTCTGGACACCAGGTCAAGTATAGATGATCATGACCTACACTGATCCTCTTTTCCCGATTCCCGGTTCCCAAGTGCCCACTCGCACGTTTGTGGGCATTTGCTAGTAGCTCGAGGAGGTCGTTTTACCCCGGTATTTCCCACATCAAGACTTTTGGGATTTAACGTTATTGGCAGATTGGCAAAATAATAAGTTTGGAATCCAATCAACCATTCAGAACATAGCAAGACCTTGAATAGCCCAATTCCAGTAGTTCGGACGCCATTGCCGATTCGTTAACTGTATGGGGCGAAGCTTGGGAAATGAAGAGATTTTTGTTAAAGCCTTCTCACTTACAAGAGTCTTAAGGACTGGATGATCTCCAATGAAAAGTCGACAAACTTACATGTGAGCAAGTAAAAAGCAGCATCAACAAAGATTAAATATAGACCAAACCTTATTTGTCATTAGTGTATCTATAATTACCACTTGGTCGGGCAGTAATAATAACAAGCTGTTCACTCTGAAGAGGTCGTGAATCGCGAAAAGATGCCCATGTGATGGGAAGGGGATTTTCGGTTTTCAAAAGAGAGTGACGATAGAATTAAAAAAAAGTTGACGAGTTTTGTGAGAAGTGACGTAAATGAATAAACTTCGATCCCTCGGTTAAGGTAAGTTATATGACCATTTCAAGATTAGTTTTCTATTGCTGCTTTTAAATCATGAATACTAGGTATATATGTGTACATCACATCGTACGTCTTACACCGAGCACTACCTCATCTATTCGCCTTCTCCGATATTTCATGGACTTTGGCATGCCTTGATTCTTTTATCCCCGATTTCTCTGTGTCAAAATGATATAAAACTCTGACACGGCTGAAGATCAAGAATCAAAAGGAATTTGCTGATTGATTATCAAACAACGTCTTTTTCGCTTGCAGAGTATTGTCCACCTGTGTGTATGATAATCCCTTTTCTTCCCAAAGTGGTAACATGGAGATTTCACGCAGGTGTCAAGCAAGCAGATGCCAGTTGTACATTGTTCCTGAGTCAATAATTGCCAAGGAAGTTTGATGTGTAGGGCAGGTATAGTGAGTGTGTGATTATTAGATGAGACTCACGAGAGCATAGAACACAATCTCGCAATTACCTACTGCTATGGAAACACCCGATACTTCGCAAGTATACCTAAGTGAATTCTCACATAGTCTTGATAAGGCTTTGATCAATCGACATTAAATATCTTAGATAGGTACTAACATGTTTCTCATGTAAACCCTTTTTTCAATTAAACTTTTTGAATGAATTGATCAATTTCGCAACTTGAGACGACAATACTTGCTCAGATTGTTTGAAGTAGGTAACCTTTGCTATCGAGGTAGCTGGAGGCTTAGCCATATTATGGAAACTTAAATTCCATCGAGTAAGGATAGCTTGATTTCGCCATAATTCACCACACTTCATTCCATCGTATCATATCTCTCCAGCTTTCCAATAATCTTCTCCTTCAGTATCACATCTCAAAATACCCCTATTTCGTCTTCCGAGCCTATCAAAATCAATGATCTCTGTTGAAACATTTCTTCCTTCAATCCGAATACTAACATGACTCAAAAGAAAGAGAGATTCACTACGTAGGTAACAATAAGTATTTACATCCAGATTTTAAAGTCACTACCTAGGTATGTACGAAGTCCTAACGTTTGAGTTGAGTTGACTTTTTGCATATGGGGAATTCCCAAAGCATCAAACTCTCTAAACTCTCTCGAGACTCTCTACCTATCAAGTATGTATCGAGGCTTAGCTAATTAACTTAATGCCATCGGCATTCTCCTCATCATAACTTCCGCGATTCGAAAATCAACATGCGAAGATCCGCTATACATCCGCTCGGTGCCGGTATTCATTTTGGACTAGGTTCTTGTCATTCGTATAATGTACCTAGTGCTGTGCATATTTTTTTTCGCAAGCTTCACCCATACTGAGACACTCCTACTAACCTTACAAATCAAAGTCAGGAGGTAAGGTACTAAGACCTGACAATGTAGGTACTAAGTAGGTCACGCACCTCCCGGTCAAATCCCCGCGCCATCTTGCCCCCAAGTTTGATCTAACCTACCGGTACCTAGTATTTACATTCTACCCATCGCCCCCCGATAACGCTCATAACGCGGGGTAAATCTGTCAATCAAAAAATCTATTCGCTTCCTCTCGAGTCTAAAATCCTGATGCTCCAAACGCCCCTCTCCCTCTGTCAAATCACGCACCGTGTTTTCTCTGTTGAAAAAAAAATAAACTACTAAAAGAGGGAACTCCATCGGTCCGATTCCCACCTTTTCTTTCAAAAGAACCCTAAAGCTTCAGCACGTGCTCATCTAAGGTTATCATCCACACTAAATATCCCCAGCATTTCACTTTGCAGCCCCCATTTTGTGGGGGACGGCTACATATATCCACCATGTCCACTGTGCAGTCAAAGTAAAAGTGTAAAATACGCACGTATCTAACTCGTATAGGTAATTAGGTGGACAATTTTCAAAAGCATGTCAGAAGTGGGATGAGTGTTCGTTTTTCAGTGGAATCTCGGGTTGAATGGAGGGGCAATTTATTTTTCCGAACTGGAACGTCTGGGGCGGGAGGGAGAAGAGGTCACTCACTGGTGAGGCTCTTGGGCACCCATTTCGAGCCATTGTACGTACTCTTTACGAAGAACTCGAATCATGATTTCCGGAAAGTCAATCGATCGTACTATGCGGATCGTGTCATTCACTCCATATAGGTTGTAATTGAGAATCGACGAGTGTAGCAGGCGAGGGAGGCTCGGAGGTCAGAACTTCGCACGGTTGAACATTTCATGAATCAAATCTTGGACATACATACCTAGGAAATCTTTTCTTCACAGATTTGTTGCATAATTCATGATTTCAAACTAGGTAGTGATTGATAAGTTACATCTACCAAGAAAAGCAAGGGGCAACCATGTTTCCGAAGCGTCCGAAAAAGGATAATAATTCCAGGCTCTCACAGTTAAAAGTAACACTCAAGATGAACTCGGTGCTTGGAAGACATATTTGTATTAAACGTCGCTTTTGCACCTAGAGTGTGATGTGATCGCGAGCACGGAAATTTCCTCCGCCTCCAATTTTGCTCACTAGATATAAAAAATTCCCGTCGTAAGATATCGCCGTAATGTAACCTACACCCAGAAACTCCCCATCTCATTCCCCCACCCATTTAAAATTCATATGCTCCTCAATGGTACTGTACGTAACTCCGTTACTCTCAATCGCAATGCAATTCTCTCAATTCCTTGTACATTCTTTGACTTTTGAGCCTGTTTTTTCATCCTCGTAAATGTCTTAATTCCTTTCTTTGGTCGTCTCTCCTTGGCCCGTGTGGAAGTTCCTCCTCCTTTTATTCATCTCCATGATTTCGTACCAGGTAATTCAACCAAGCAAGTATGATGTGACAAAGTACCAATTCTTCAATCACGTGAGATGGTTATATTCATGTCTTGGAAAATAAACACGGGCGTGCATAATGTATCGTGTGCCAGGTTTATTTTCAACCCTGTCCACCCCCCAAGAAAAAGTCCAGTTCGCTTGGTCCACCTCTTTGTTGTTCATTTTCTGCAAGTTGTTCCAACAAGCTTAGGAAAGGATCTTTCTCCTCTCCACTTGTTCCTGTACTCCCATTATTTGACCTTCCTCCTGGTGTCATACCTTCTTCCCCTATCATACCACCACTTGTTCCGCCCATTCCTGCGAATGAAAAATTTCCACCATTACCCAGATGTGGCATACCAAACATTGGATCAAAATCTGATTCTTGCCCGTGATTCAAAGAGAGCGATGGAGAAAAAGTATATGGTTGCGATTGATTCTGACTGGGTGGCGAAAAGGGTATTTGTGGAAGTGTAGTCATTGAGCTTCCTTGATTGGAATAAGATGCCGGATCGTGACCGAGTAGACCGTTTTGTGGTAGTGGCAATTGCTCAACCGATCTTCCATTCGGTGACATTAGAGGTCTTTCTTTTAGACTATTGGTAAGAGCACGTTTTCGTGCAGACGATGAAGATTTGCGTTTGGAAGTAACAGTAGTTGAATCATTCGAGCCATTCGAGCCTGTTCTCCCATTCATAGAACCATTCCTATTTGATTGTGTCGGCGCATAAAGGTCATGACCTTGATATGCTTCAGGATTGGGTGTCACCATATCCGCAAAACTGATATGAGCCCCATCAAAGTATTGGCCCAAATCACTATACCTATCGAAAAAGTCTTCCAGGTGAAAGACTGGACTAAAGCGCATCGGATTACTTCCAAGACTTTTCACTAGATCGGAATGGCATCCATAGATAGTCTGTAGAGTTTCTCGTTGATGCTGAACTGAGGACCATGCATATCGAAGTTCGGAAAGTTGTTGCATCTCCCTGGAAAGGAAATCCGCGGAAGCGGAGAATACTTCGCCTTCACGGCCGCCTTTGTAATGTGTCCCATGAACATGGACAGTACCAGCGGTGCAAATACAGTATCCCACAAATGCGGGCCATTCTATCGATGCAGATTGCTTTCCGAGCTCTACCAATTCGGCGATTGCGTTTGCGTGAAGAAAACAAAGATTTGTGGCTTCAATTTGCCAAGATTGATGTTGACCGGTTCCAGCTAATTCGGCAAGGTCGATAGGAAGAAAGGGTCGATATATTAGACAATGTATAAGATGATAGATGAGTTTGCTGAGGACGAGAGTTGTACTGTCTGGTTGTCCAAAAAGTGTATCAACAGATGTAAAGACATCCTGTGTACCGCCTGCCCAAACATCCAAGTCTTGACGAATTTTCGAAAGGTTCGATAATGAGTGCCATGGAAAATGAGAGTCGCCTGTTTTGATAACATGATAGTCAGTATTCGTACAATAACTAATTGTCGAACAAAAATGATTGCTGCAAAACTTGCCTTTTACACCGCCAGCTGCGAGATAGCGGTTAGTAATTCCTAATATTCTCACAATATCTATGAGCATTCCGGTGCTTCCTTGGCTCTTCTTTCCATTACCGAAATGAAGATTTGAACCACTTTGGAAGAACTCTCCTTCGACGGGAAGAGCGGCTGGATTGGGTGACCAAGATGGTAATCGTAACACAATAGATTTATCGGCAATTAATGATGGTCGTTTTGATCCGCATGCTGTGAATCTGTCTATCAAATAACATGTCCAAAACAATCTTCTTCGTAATTCTCTCTCGACAGGACTAATTCGTATGTTCTGATCCAGTTCGCGATGGAGTTCTAGCGCGACAGCCATTCCAACGGCGTTCGCTATGTACAGTTA